CCCGGGACCATGACTGAGCTGAAGGCAGACGCTTAACGACTGAGCCACCCAGGCGCCCAACTACAAACCTTTTTTGAAAAATATATATAAAATCTTGGATCTGGGGTTAAAGAGTTCTTAAACTTGGCATCATAAACACAATTCGTAAAAGGAAAAATTGATAGATTGGAGGTCATCAAAATCTAAAACTTTTGCTCTGCAAAAGACCCTGTTAAGATAACGAAAAGACAAACTACACAGTGGGAGAAAGTATTTGCAAATCACCTATCCAACAAAGGACTTATATCTAGAGTATACAAGAACTCTTGGGATGCGTGGGTGGCTCAGTGTTGGTGAGGCATCTGCCTTCGGCTTGGGTCATGATCCCAGGGTCCTGGGATTGAGGCCCGAGTCCGGGCTTCCTGCTCAGTGGGGAGTCTGATTCTCCCTCTCCCTCTGCCCTTCCCCCTGCTCATGCTTGCTCTCACTCAAATAAAATCTTTAAAAAAAAAAAAACAAAAAAAAACTCTCAAAACTCAACAGTAAAAAACAATCCAATTAGGAAATGGGCAAAAGATATGAACAGACTTTCACCAAAGAAGACATACAGATGGCAAATAAGCACACAAAAAGATGTTAAACATCATTAGCCACTAGGGAAATACAGATTAAAATCACAATGAAATAACCACTACACATCTATCAGAATGGCTAAAATAAGAAACAGTAACAACACCAAATGCTGGCAAGGATATGGAGAAACTAGATCCACTCATACATTGGTGGTGGGGGATGTACACTTACTCTGCAAAACATTTTGGCAGTTTCATAAATCTTCAACTACTTTACAACCTGGCAGTTGCACTCCTGGGCATGTATCACAGAACTTAAGACTTAAATTCACATAAAACTTATACATGAATATTTATGGCAGCTTTATTTGTAGTCACCCCAAACTGCAAACAACCCAAACAACCTTCAACAGGTAAGTGGTTACAAAACTGTGGTACATTGATACTTCGGTATACTACTCAGCAATAAAAAGAAATTGATACATGCAACAACCTGGATGAATTTCCAGATAATTATACTGAGTGAAAAAGTCTAATTCCAAAAGGTTCCATACTGTGCAATTATATAACTTTCTTAAAATGGTAAAATTATAGAAATGGAGAACAGACTGGTAGTTGCCAGAGGTTAAGGAGGAAATAGAGGCAGGAGGCAATAGGTGTGGCAAATAAAGGGCGTAAGGGATTCTTGTGATGATAGAAATGTTCTGTATATTGACTCTATCAACAACATCCTGGTTGTGTACTGTCATATAGTTTAGCAAGATATTACCATTGGGAGAAACTGGGTAAAGGGTACATGGGATTTTTTTTTTTTTTTTTCCCAACCACATGTGAATCTGCAGTTTTGTTTTGTTTGTTTGTTTGTTTTGACACAGAGCGATCACAAGTAGGCAGAGTGGTAGGGAGAAGGAGAAGCAGGCTCCCTGCTGAGCAGAGAGCCCAATGCGGTGTTTGATCCCAGGACCCTGGGATCATGACCTGAGCCGAAGGCAGACACTTAACTGACTGAGCCACCCAGGTGCCCCTGCAATTAAATTTTTTAAAAGCGATGAAGAAAATTGTAAGGGAAAGGATAATGTAGCCTGAATCCATAAAACCTTTACTTAGATTAGAGAATACCACACAATTTAAAGCCAACACTAAACTAGAAAAAGTATTCCTGACAAATGACTGAAAAGTTGATACCTTTAATATATAAAGCATTCTATAATTTATAAAACTGATATCCTCCTGTGTAAGCAGTACACAAAAGAAAAAAATGCACCTTGCTACAAAACATTAAAAAGTATTTCAATCTTTCTAGTAATCAAAGAAATGAAAATTGGAATTCATTTTCTCCTCTAAATTGCAAATCTTTTTATATAACCTTGTTCCCAAATAAGGTAAAATCTTTATCACGTTTATTTTCTGTCTTCCTCTTAGGTGGTGTTGAAATTATATAGAATTTTAGCTCCAAGTGATATTAACTTTCAAATATATTAGCCTATTTTAAGTATTTCAACAATGGCATTAAATTTCTAACCATATTACCAATAATTAGTTTACACTGATACTTCTTACTGATTCATTGTTTACCACTTTCTCATATACAGTATAATCTTTCTCAGATTTTTAAATTTATTTTGTATTTGTCAGAACTCTTAAGTACCTCCACCCCCTACGCACTCACCCCCTTATAGATTGGTGTACTTTCTGAGTACTTGGATATCTACACATACCATTTTTTACCTTTATACAAATTATTTGATCATGCCATTTTTCTTTGTAAGTCTGAAAACATTGCTGTATTATCTTTCATTTGGTGTTGAAAATGAGAAATCTTAACCACAGTCTGATTCTTTTTCTCAATAGGCAATCTGTTTTTAGTTTGTTTTCTGGCTGGAAATGTATAATCTTTTAATACTTAAACATTTGAATTTGGGCAGCTTCACTGGCATATATCTGAGTGTGTGTGAGTATGTGAATTTTTCATAGTATTTTTGCCTAGCATTTAGTGACTCTTTTCCATCTGAAGACTTGAGTCTTTCTTCAGCTAAATGATATTTTCTTGTATAACGTTTTTTTTTTTGGTTATTGCTTCCTTTTAACCTACTCTGCCCTCATTCTGGAATCCCAGTAATTTGGAGATTGGATGTCCTGGATCAGCTTTCAATGCAGCCTATATATTTTTTTTTTCTCACAATTTCCATTTCTTTGTCATTTTTACCTTTGTCTTAGAAGAATTTCTATACTTCGACTTCTAATGTACTAATTTGGCTTTTAGCCCTGTCCATTTTAATCTATTTTTTCCCTTTCTCAAGTTTAAATATTTTCTATTTCTAAAAGCTCTTATTTCCTGTTTGCTCCCCTTTTTATATCGAAGTCTGGTTGGTTTTATCAGTGCAGTAGTATTTTGAATATTACTGGGAGTATTGGTTACAAGTTGATTGATATTAACTCCTGTTTCCACCATTGACTGCTGTTTTTTTTTTTTAGGGGCTGTTTACACAGTTTGCTTAGTTTGGTTCCCCTGCTGACTTCCTCATAGGATCAATGAGTTTTATAGCTTCCTCATATTTTTAATGAAGTTCTTGAATAACCAGCGATGTTGGCTGATAGTGGGCTACCTCAGCAGCCCATTTGTGAGTCTCTATTTGGTTTTCCTTAGCAGGCCTTCCCCTCTTAAACCAAAGCAGATAGCCATGGAACTCCAAAGGTAAGCTTTGTCCTTGGTGTGGAGAAGGCAGGAACATGCCAGAAAATGGACTTCTCTTAAGTATTAAGTGGCTGGGAGCTGATTAGCAAGTATGCTTCTCCAGCCCCTGCCCTTGACCAGGGAGGCTGTGAGGGCCTTGGGTGGCTAGGCTGTTTTACCTCACATTCCGTCCATAGTGAGTTAAGCCAGCGGACTGACACTGCTTCACATGCCACTGGCAGTGATGACGAGGATGTGATCAGACGGACAAGTTTTTATGTCACCGGTAGGACGGAAAATATACATTCTTCTGGAAACCCATTTGGTGGAGTGTAAAAACAGGCTTGGAAAATGTCTGATCCCTTTAGTTCTCACATTTCTGGCGGGCTATCTTAAAGAAATAGGGAAGTGGACATAGACTTCTATTCAGAGATCCTAACTGCCAAGTTACTTATAATAAGGGGAAACTGGAAAGGATCTACGTGTGTTACAGAAGAGGCACGGCCAGTCATGTCCGTTATGTAGCTGTATGATGGGGTATTTTGCAGCTCACGATAGAACGCTGAATGAAAAAAATCAGAGTATTAACATTTTACACACAGTATGTTTATACATGATAAAAAGGCCAGAAGTAACAACAGATTATTATCAGTGGTAGGATTCTGGGTGACTTGTGGTTTTTTTTTTTTTTTTTTTAAACTTGTCTGTGTTTTTAAAAATTTTCTGTAATGAGTTTTCTGTATGACTTTTATAATCAGAAAAAAAAAACAAACAGTAAATGTTGTTAAAATAGGTCTCTCCACACTCTACACTGCATCAAAAAAGACCCCTGCTTTTCAGAATTTGCAGGCAAAAAGTGGTTTGCATTAGGGTTGAATTTGCCAGTTATCATAATGTGCAAATGGATTTTGGAGTCTCCGGCTTCTCGTGCCGTGCAGGGCGCATGGCTGCCGCGCCAGCACCGGCACACAAGCTCGGGTGAGGCCCATCTGCTGCTCCGGCACAGCTTGGCGGACACAGATTGATTTCAGTTCGTTCTTTAATTTGGCAGCTTTTCGTCTTTTCTCATTATCATAGCTGGGATTCAGTACTAGTATTACTCGTTTTGTTTACTGGTTTGTTGTCGTCTTTTGTTCCATTTTGTGGAGACGGTGAAGCCAACAATGGGAATTCTGTCTTGTGAAAATGCAGTGCTTGTCCTTTGGGATCTCGGGCATGTCTTGCTGAAGGGGCTTTCTCTTTCTGACACTTGCAAGCCGTTTCAGTTGTTTCGATTAGTCGAAGCCTTCGTGGTGTTTTTTTTTTTTCTTCAAAGACCTTAGTCTTCCTTTTCTCCCCCTTCCCCCCCCCCACCCCAGGAAGATTTGGAAATGGTTCCAAATAGAAATTATCAACATTAGCCTTGAGCTATGCTCTCTCCATCTGGTGTTTGGTACTTTTTTTTTTTTTTTTTTTAACTGAAGGCTCACATTGTTTAATCTTAGTCACTGCAGAAGCCGGGGGCGGGGCGAGACTTCTACTCTGCCCTAACCACCCTGCACTTGAGAAGGGATTTTCTTCTGAGTTGGTTTGTATTTCAAAAAACACTGGGATAGTCTGCCAGATTGCTAAGAATTTACTCAAGTAAAACTTTACAACTGTTAGAGTCATCTTAAGAGATTTTTTGAATGGATTTGTTGGGATAGGATGGCTGCCGCCTGAGAAGCCTCTTTGAGCCTGATACTTTCTGTTGAAGAAACATTCCTTGTAAGACTTTATGCTACTTTTTTCTCTAGGTTACCCCGAAGAGACTTACCCAATTTATGACCTTTCAGATTGCATCAAGCGTAGGCAAGAAACAATCCTGGTGGATTACCCTGACCCCAAGGAGCCCTCTGCTGAAGAACTAGCTGAAAGAATGGGAGTGCTGGAAGGTGAAGAATCAGACCATTTGGGTTGGGAAATGCCCACTGACCCCAGACCCCGGGAAGAGAATTCTGTTACCTCATGTGACCCAAAGCCACAAACCTGTTCCTGCTCTTTTCATGAAGAAGAGGATCCTGCGGTCTTGGCAGAGAATGCTGGATTTGGTGCAGACACTTACACTGAGCAAGAGGAAACCACCAAAGAAGTATGGCCCCAAGACTTCAGAGATGAAGGCCTGGGCATCAGCCCTGATAAAGTACATACAGGTGGCACGTTGAGGAAGCGGAACCCCCAGGTTCTGCTTTAGTTGGTTTGGAGAAGTATCCACCACTCTAGTTCCAAGGTGACCTTTCTCTCCTCTCTGATTTCATCCTTGGCCCTGTGCCCTGAATTTCATTCTGTATTTAAATATCCTAGCTAATCAGGCCACTACCATGGATATCCTTCCTGGTGCTCACACACCTGTCACCTTGTAAAACACCATAGCAATTAGTACGAACACAATACAGCTTCACTCTTCATGCCTTTCCTCCACCAGATAGTTGATCCACTGAGTAATTATGTTTGATCTGTTGGGCACTCAGGGGCAGGGGTCTGACTTCGTGCTAGGAGTAGCAGATGGTTTACCTGTGAACAAACATTAGTTTACATGTGATGAGGACTTAAGGCTGCGAAAGTGAAGATTATAGAGTCCAGGATGCCTTACTCTGTGGGCCTTGAGCAGGTTAGTGGTCCCCTGGGTTCAAGAAGAGAACATTTTGTTAGTGGGTGTGATGGGGCCAGAGCAGGGTAAGACTCTGCTGTGTGAACTGAAGAAGCCCCTTCCTCACAGTGAGGGCCTTTTGGGGAGCACTGTTGCTGCCTCAGATACCTGCTTTTCTCCAGAGTAGCAGAAGGCTCCCAGTGACCTGTGAATGAGCCCAGAGACCAATTGGGGGACTGTTACTCTGGTATTGCTGGGTCTCTAGCTTCCTTTATACCTGTTCTGTTTCACAGAACTGCCAGCCCAGAAGCACCATTGTACCTCTGGCCTTCAGTGGCCAGAGGAAGCTTTAAATAGAGACTTTAATCCTGGCCCTGCAGAGCCAAGGTTGGAGGCTGGGAAGGCTACACGAAAGCCTGTGTAAGGATGGTGGACCTCCACGAGACGGTCAGACCAGAGAGCGAGGGGTGGGAGAGAATCCATGTACTTAAGGACAGCTATTTCTAAATGTTGTGCCCTCTGGGAAATTTGTTCTTACCACATGAATTGAAACAGAAATGAGGAGGACTGAACTTCTAGACAAAGTGCCAGGCCGAAAGGAAAGTTGCAGTGTGTGTCTGTTGCAGAGAACCTATAGCAGTGCCCAGGGAAAGAGACTATTCTATATTCAGGTATCTGGGTCTTTTGAGAAAGCTGGGAAGGGGAGGAGGTTGGTCAAAATCCTCCCAGTCTTAACCTCACTAAAGGCCTAATTTCTAAGGGTGCCACCTGTCATCTTTTTTTTTTTTTTAAGATTTTATTTATTTATTTGACAGATAGCAAGAGCAGGAACACAAGCAGGGGGAGTGGGAGATGGAGAAGCAGGCTTCCCGCTGAGCAGGGAGCCCGATGTGGGGCTCGATCCCAAGACCCTGGGATCATGACCTGAGCCGAAGGCAGACGCTTAATGACTGAGCCACCCAGGCGCCCCTGTCATCTGTCTTCTTGAGATAAGATGCCACCCATGTATCCTGTCTAGGAGGGATGAGTGAATTCAGTTTACACGTAAGACCTGAGAGTTTAAAGAAGACACATTCCCAGGAACATTCCTCATCATGAAATGTGGAAGACTTGAAAACTAAGAAATGATGTAAAGGTCTGTAGGGCTTTTGGAGTTCCATTGTTCCTGGTCGACTAAAATGCCAGGAAAATAGCTGAAATCAAACATATAGGCATATAGACTGCTGTCAGAAGGTTATGGGATCATATTTAGATAACATGTCAGCTAATAGTAGGCATTTCTTAATGAAATTAATGTTAATGAAATTAACATTTCTTGTTACAGAAAAAAGTCATTGAAGACTGAGTCTGTAGGAAAAGTATATTGCATCCGTCTGTGTGGAACCTTTGATTCACTTTATAGTTTTAAAATGTACTGGAAGTTATCTAGATGTAATGCTCAAGGTAAAAAAAAAAAGAATGTAGGTGCTCTTTACTGTTTTGATAAATCACTTTCCCTGTCATTTCCCTTTTTCACTGCAAGGGGTTGATTTATAAGGAGTCCTGGGTCCCTGGTTCCTTCTTTTTTGCCTTAGTATATATGGTTCCCTTATTAGAGATGTGTGTTTCTTTCTAGCTTATTCATTCATTTATTCACTTAGCAGACACTGCCCAGAGCTGAGCAGCAGGAACAGAGCCTCAATTCCTACCTTCAAGAAACAAAAAAGCTTAGTGTGGGAGCCTTGCCCATTTTTTTTTAAATGAATGATTAAAAGGGCTCAAGATTGTGAATTCTGCAGGCAGAGAAATATTGGTCATGATTCCATCCCGGCCTATTCTATCTGTAGACTCTTGTTGGCTCCTTACCCCTCCTGAACCTTGGCTTTCTCCTGACACAGGGGAGTCGAAGTCCAGCTCTCCCAGGTTGGGTAGGAGGATTAAATGTGAATCATCAGTGCATCTAAAACAGCATTGGCCCTCCCATCTCCTCCATGCTAACCACTCACTAGGTGGTAGCTAATTTACTTTTATTGTACAAGGTTTTACGCTGTAATTGAGATGTGGACCCAAATCTACAGGAGCACAAAGATCATTTTTGCCAAAGTACTTCCAAGAAGCTTTACTGGGGAGTTGGATCTTCAGGCATGCTAAGAACTTCTCCAGGTGGCCAAGGAAAAGAACGGTCATTCTTGGCACAAAGAGCGGTGTTGGACAAAACAGACAAGTGTGGAAGTATGTGGATGTTCAGGTATTTTTATGAGGCTGGTATGTAAGATGTCCTGTAACCAACTCTTTATTTTGAATGTTAATCTTTGGGGGAAACTGGCTTATGGAACTATCTCCTGCCAGAAGTACTAAGAGCTCATGATGGTTCCCACTGCCCTCGCTCTTGGTTGGCTTATACAGCTGGGATATATTAACATTTATATTTCAGAAATGTTTGGTCATTTAGATTAGTGCTTTGTGGATTTTCCCGAATTATTTTATCCTTCAGGGATGACAATTGTGTATATACAACCCAGGATGACCAAAATCAGAGGACTGGTTTTTGTCATGTGTGCTCTTTCCTTATGGTCTTCACTTCTCAGAACTGGTCTGGGCTGTGAACTTGATCAGCCCCCAGGTACTAGGTCCTCAGTGACCTTTGAGCACTGTGGCGGAGAGCATGAAGTCCTAGCTCTGGGGATGGACAAATGGCCTAGGAAACATGGGTATCACCTGGGACTGTGCTTGGTTAAGTTAAGAGGGCGAGCCAGTCAGGAGAGCCTCTTTCCTAATCCTAATAGCACAAGGAAAGCGCCTTGTAAGCTCCAGGACTAGCAGTGCATGTGCTCTAAAAAACTAGGCCTAGGAAGGAAGGCATGTTGAAGAATGGAGGCATACTGGACCTTCTGAAGAGATGGCCTATGAGAACCACTCTCTCTGTACCTTCTATGGCTTGGGTGATCAGATAACTCATGGTCCAAACTAAGACTCCTTGAGAGAGAGAAAAGGGAGCTTTAATTAGAATGATGCCAGGACAATAAGTATAAACCGGGACTGCCATGGACCTATGGTCACCCCGTCCGTGGCTATTTAAAAGATTTGTCTTTCACCTGACCACTAACCAACAAAAACCTCTGGTCCGAACCTGCATCTGTGGTTTCCCACAGAGGCAGAGCCAAGGAGCTGGGCTGGGGTTTTGGCAGGATATTGGCCACATAAAAACTCCAAATCTAGGGTAAAAAACTAAAACCAGCTCTCCTTACTTTTGTCCTAAGAACCAGGCCTCCAGGGGCATATGGAGGAACTAAACCGCCCATGCTTGCAGAGGACTACTCTAACCGAAGTCTCTTCTATCCAGCCCTTCCCAGCCTGTGTGTGGTTCTGCCCAGCCTTAAATCTGTTGAGCTCAGCCAGAGGGAGGACAGCGTCAGCCCACACAGTAGTATTTCCAAACAAGCCGTGAGCCCTTCCTACCCACCCCCACCCCCAGGCTCTTAGGACAGACGGAACGAATACACTTGTAGGTAAGAAATGTTTTCTCCCCTTTTATAGGGAAAAAAAAAAGTGCACAGCAGTGTTGAAACAGTTCAAGTTTAATTTGTTGCTATATGGTCTGTACCTAGACAAACACTAAGTTCTACAACATATATAATGTCAACATGGGAAAATACCAACTTTGTCATTGCACATACCAGTAAATAAATACATTTGCTCAATACCAAAGAGTTTATTCAAAAAGTCACTTAATAAAAGCACAGTTTTGCAAGTTTGTCTAAAACTCCAGATAATTTGGAACAAAAATAAAATGACCACTCCAGAATAGGAAAAGACAATCTTGTGCAAATGGACATACACATTCTAGGCGTTAGGAAAACTGGCTAAATGGCTGCTCCCAGCAAGAGAAGTGCCCCCCATCCTGACCAAGTCCCCTTTTGAAACTCTGCAGGATTAAAGAGGCCAGAGTCAGGCTTCCCTTTCTAAGCCACTCTAAATTACACTCTAGGAAACTCTGGATCTTGGCCTAATCTGCAGCTCTGCCTTGACCTTGATGGGGGAAGGGAGAGGCGCAGTAGAACAGAAGAGAGGAATGGGTGTGACAGGTTTCTGAGGAAGGAAAGAAGGCACAGTGATGAGCCAGAAAAGGTGATGAAAGCAAGGATCAATTTTCATTCACCCTGCTTCTTACTGCAGCTTTGACAGCCTAACCTCCTCAGTGTGTAGATGAGAAAACAACCTAGGAAAATCATGTGGTTTGCTCAGAATCACATAGCTAAGTGCAATAGTGCTCTCTATAAGACCATCTTGCCTCTCAACTTGGTCAGAAAATTAAATCTATCCGCACACTTCTGCTATGCCTCTCCCCCCGTCCCCAGGATCCTGAGATGACAAGATTGCAAACTGGAGGAGGTACAGAAAGACAGGGACCCAGTACAAACAAGAGCCCTCCCTTGGTCTGCTCCTGGGGGCTGCTACCGTTCAGTGCTGGGCCCCACAACACAGCAGACTCCTTCAGCTCTCTGGAAAAGTATGCTCTGAGGTCACAGGTTATAGCTCAGCTGGGGCAAAGAATTCTGGAGAGAAGGCCAGTGTTGCCGCAGTTAAGGGAACACCAGGGACTCCAGCTAGGAGAGAGGGTTTGTGCTTGCGTAACAGAGCCACGGCCCGCCCAGCGTCTCCCCTCACTGTAGACCCCATGTCCTTAGGAGGTTTGAAATCATCACCACTGCTTATTAAATTTAGAATTTCCTCTAAATGTAAACTTAGAGGTAAATGCTCTGCTATTTCCAGACCAAAGACAAACTTCTGCAATTTTGTTGCCCTTTTTGTCACTGAAGGACACAGACTCCAAATTTTCACAATCGCTGGCTTCTAACACCTGTCTTCAGCATGCGTCTGGACCTTAACTGCTTTTTTAAGGCACATTCACATCCCAAAGCATGCATGTAACATACCAATTTCTTCAGGTAATGCAAAATGGAACTGAAAAACTAAAATTTCTTAGATGGTGTCCTCCTAATCTTTCTTCCAAGAAAGAGCTGGTACTTTCCCAGGTTTACTTTCTGACCAAAGAGCATGGAATGAACAAAATCCACAGGTAATCGTAATATCCTTATTCCTTTTCTACTCATCCTTAGAACTATGATCGTAGTAAGAAACCTCAGTGGGTGAGTTGCAGATTGCCCTTTTCCCCAAATATACACAGATACATAGACACACAGAGACAGAGCACCTTGGAGCCAGAAGGAAAGAAAAGCTAGAACTGGAGAAGAGTGGGGAAGTGAACATCACAGCTCTACAGAAGAGCCGTTTGGGGGAAGAGGGTGTGGCCCCAGGAGCAGTGACAGAAGGAGCTGCCTGAGGTCCAGCTGTCCACCACCCTTAGGGCTTGCTCATTCCATCAGCCAGTCCCATCTGGATAGAGGGGTATGAAGGACAAGAGCTCTTACCCTGGGAGATGCTGAGCCCAGGTGATCTCCAGGGGCCCTGGCAGCTTTTTGAGTCTTGGGCCCATGGCTAGGCGGCCAGTGGTCAGGGAAAACCAGCATCACCAGGAATGGGGTCTGAAGAACAGACCTTGTAAAGCTGGGTCTCGAGCAGGGGACTCAGCTGCTCTTGTCACTCCGTGCCCAACAGAGTTTTGCTGCTGAGCTACCTTCCCCAACGTCGAGGCTGGGAAGGTCAAGCCACGTTCCTAGCCCCTCCTCACCCTCTCCTGCATATTCGATGGAATGCGGGGTATGAGAGTTTGCCCTTGCTTCTGCCTTTTCCACACTGGTGCCAGGCTTCCCTCTCAAATCAGCCTGTTCTACTCTAAAATCCCAGACCCAGAGAAACAGCTTAAACCAGACTTCAGAGATCTAGCTTCCACCATCCCAAATGTCAACAGGTCTCTTCCCAGTCAGGGGACTGGAAAAGTGGACCAGCCCCAGTGTGAGAAAGTCTAGTGCCCTCAGAATGACCCCAGGAGTGGTCCAGAAACTAGTCCCGTAGAGGGGCCTCACCCAGATCCCCGCTAGAACACTCCACATAGGAAATCCTGTAAGGAAATGAGAACACACTGCTACTACCACTTAAGTCAGAACCACTCCCTCTCACTACGGAGCCTCACTCAAATGTTTCAAGTAGGACTTATTTAAACCAAACATTTCTATGCAGCCTTTCCAAGCAGATCTCCGCTGAGAGGAAGAATAACTCCTGCTTGCTTCCCACTAAGTTCTGGCCTCCGTCTGGGCAAGTAGCCTCGGCCAGGGTCAATGGCAGGCAAGGGCTTAGTGTTCCCAAGGCTTCTGGGTCTAGAGTGCCATCCGAAGAGATCAGGCCCAGCCCTGGAACACTCACGCCTCACCCATCACACCCCAACAGAGAAAGGCGCAGCGGCCTGGGTGAGGCCTGCCCTCGGGGAGAAGCTAGACACCGGGCAGTCCTGATCAGACTGATGTTCAAAAAGCCAGCGTTCAGCATGAAACTAATTTCCCTCTGACACGGTTTCAATTTCATACATCAACTCTGCCACTTCTAAGTCTCTGTAATCAGACAAAAGGGTGAGGGCATGCAGACCGGGGGCCCAGGAAGGCCAGAGAACCAGAGAGAGCAGTTTCTCGGGGGATGGTAGGAACAAAGAGATCGAGGGAGCGAAGTTCTGAATTCTGCCACTGACCAGCCAGGTGACCCGGTGCAAATCCATCTAAATCTCATTCACCTAAAGTGACACGTTGTACTAGTTCATCTCTAAGGCTTCTGCCACCTCTCCTCTCGTGGTTCTAACGTACTCCCTGCCTTTCTTCACCCTGTTCCATTCCCACCCTGGAAGAACCACCCCCAAGTCCTCAGCAGCCACGACCTGGGCTGTGCACGGGGGCTGCGAGGCACAGGCCAGAGCACCTGGAGCTAGACTTTCTTCCTGGAACACGCCATGGCTTAGGACCACTGCCCTGCCAGCTGGAGGCCCAGGCATGCCTACCTGAGTGCCCTCTTGAGGCTGGGGGCCCAGCCCCATCCGCGTCTCCTGGGCACTCTGCACGAGCCGCCCCGCAGAAAGCTCCTCAGGCAGCCTGTGCCATGTACCTCCCGCAGGCTCAGCCCAGCCTCTAAGACATCTGGCCTCCTGCTGCCTCCGTGCACACAGAGAAAACCTAGAGAAATCAAATGAGCGGGAACCCTGGGCCACCAATTCCCACAGCCGGGCCCCCGCAGTCCTGACAAGGTCTTGCCACTCACCTTTCCCAAACCCCCCGTAACTTCTCCTAGCCTGGCTGAGGCCTTCCGCAGTCAGAGGACTTTCTGGAGTTATTAGCAAAGGGCCTGGAAGCCGATCCTAGCCCTTCTATATAAAATTGATGTACCCAACACACACATACACACCCACACTATGCCCTTCACTGTCGGGGACCCACTGGCACCTGATTCCTAGACTGAGTGGATGGCTTGGCCGCAGCAGCCCTGCATTGTGCTTCCTCCCCCTCTGTTTCTTCCTACCTTCCCAGCTGAAGAGTCTGCCCAGCCTGGCGCAAACGACTGCAGCAGGATACTAACTCAAGAGCAGGGGTGTGTGTATGGATCTTGGGGCCCAGGAAGAATTCACGCAGGCCCCTTCACACACACACCTCCCCCACCTGGTCCTCTGTCTCAGCAGTGGAGGCAGGAGGCCAGTCTGAGCTGGCTGGGCCAGGGAGCCACTGAGAGCTAAAGGTTCACCTGGCAGGAGGCCTATGTACAGAGAGAGGGTAAGCAGGGCTGTCTCTGCAGGCAGGCAGCTCCACTCCAGGCTGGGCAACCCCAAAGGGCACAAGGGGGCCCTCTACTCGCAGGCCAGCTTGCTGTCGAAGCTGGACAGGGCGATGGCGAAGGCCTGCAGCGCGCACAGTGGGTAGTTGTAATCCATGGTGAACACGTCCTCTGCCACGCGGCCAAACTGCATCACAATGTAGTCCGCTGGAGCCCGGCGCACGTGTGCACAGGGAAAGCCACACGACAGGGCAGGGATGGTGGGGGGGGGGGCGGACAGACAGACAAATCGTAACGGGCAGAGAAGGTGAGCAGAGATGCCCAAAGGAGGTCAAACAATTGGGAGGAGTGGAGGGAAAGAGGGAGGAGGTGACAGAGGAGAACGAGAGACACACCAACACCAGGAGACAGAGAAGAAGAAAAGTCCATTCAGAGGCTGCTCCCACACCTGAGACTCTGCTGAGTGCACAGAGTCTAGGGTTAGGGCTCCAAAGAAAGTTCTTCCAAGGGCCTCCCAGTCATAGGGTTAGAGAATTTTTGACCTCTGATCGAAGCCATGTAACCCACATCCTTGAGCTCTGGCCTATGAAGGCAGGGCTGGGTGAGCTGAACCCTGAGCTGAAGGCCCTGGGTGTCATAGGGACAGTCCTGAGGAAGGGCGGAAACACTCACGGTCATTCCCATGGATGATCTGGAAGTTCTTCACGGAGGCCTGTGTGACGCGCCCGTGGAAGTTGAGTACGTAGGACTGCGTGTCGTCATTCCAGACCGGGGTCTTGTTTTGCAGCTCAATGATACTCTCCGTGTTCTTATTCTGCCAGCGTGCTAGCAGCGTCTCATGCTCCTGGGAAGGCAGCCTCGCCTGAGTCACGCCCGGCCCCGTGCCTTGGCTGCACAACCACCCTAAAAAGGGATCTGCCCTAGGGACGGAGTCCTTAATCTCCCTAGACCTCCGCCTAGAGCCCAGGGCTTCTTCCACTGCGTCCCCTACGCCTAACACAGCGCTGCTGCAGTCCTGCTCCCAGAAGTGCACGCACACGATGGGGTGACGGGGGTGGGGAGAGACTCACGTTTCGCGGCCGGATGGAGACTCTCTCGTGAACCATGTTCATGCCTGGGACAATCACACTCATCTTCCGCGGCCCCTTGAAACCTAAGACGTTTGTCTCCTGGGAAGGAGAGAGAGAGGACTCAGCACTGGCCATCTGAGGACTCTACTTACCTAACGGAGAGACTAGGAAGAAGGGAATAAAGCTGACGAGCTAGTTTTCACCATCTCCACCTGAATGTGTAACAGGCATCTCTACACTTAACCCGTCCACAACTGAGCTCCCGGATCTCCACTCTGCCCAAACCAGCTCCTCCCTCCTGTCTTCCTCGCTTCAGTTGACAACTCAGTTCTTCCACTTGCTCAGGCAACCTACTTCGAGTCATACATGCCTACTCTCTTTTGCTCACAAGCCACTTCTAATCCATCAGCAGATGATGTCACCTCTCCCTTCAAATTCTATCTGGAACTCAACCACTTGACCAGCACCATCTCTCCCTGAGGTCACAGTACTAGCCTTTATCTGGATTCCCGGTTTCCGACCTTGCCCTGCCCACCCCCCATCTGTTCACACAGCAGCGAGTCGTCCCGTTAAGTCACATCCTTTGCCTCCACTGTTCACACAGATTAAAAGCTGAAGGTCTTGACTGTGAGGCCTCACGTGGCACGGCCCCACCACATTCCTCTCCCCACCACCTACTCTCCTCCGCACTATGCTCTGCGCCCCCGCGCCCCCCGGCTATTCCCCGCACATGCCAATTACTCAGGACATTAGTACTGGCTGTGTTTCCCACCACACCTACAGGGCTGCCTCTCCCTTCTGGGCGTTACCCAAGGGGTACCTCAGGGAGGCCCTCCCTGCCATCCTTACTAAAAGCTTCCACACATATGAACATTTCATTTCCAGGCTTGATTGTTTCTTCTTCACATTTATTTATTTGTTTTACTTATAAATCTCTTTTATAGCTTGTCTCCCCACTAGGGGTTTAAGTCCCATAAGAGTATAAATTTGCATCTCTTGTTCACTACCGTATCCTCAGGGCCTCCAACAGTATTAGCTAGGCTCAATGAGCATTTGAAGAGATTCGGGCTGCCTCCCCACAGGTGACCAGCAGGTGGCACCAGAGGCTCATACAGAATAGCTATGGCTTTCCCAATTCGCCTCCAAGTACCCAGGCCCAGATTAATGGGGGTACCAATCCCTCATTTTAAAATAAGGTAGAAAAATTCCCTGTATTTACATTCCAGTTTGGTCACCAATGTGCTGTATGACATTGGCAAGTGACCCAACCTCTCAGCTTCAGTTTCCTCATCTCTACAGTGAAGGAAATAGGACTGAGCTCTTAGGTCATGCATTCCATGAGACGACTACGCAAAGGGCCTTGTAGTCCATGCAGGGCCCAGGTACTGGAGAGAGGGGTGGAGGGACGCAGCAACAAGAACTCAGGCCTCCTGCTGCCTCCTTTCCCGGCGATTCCCAGGCTGGGCTGCATAGAGCTCAGCCCAGTTCCCAGAGCTCCCCAGGCAGATGGCTTTCTGTGGTCTGAGCTCTGAGGACAGACAGGGGTCACGCCAACAGAGGGCAGCCCAACTCTGTACAGTCTTGTCTGCTCACAAAGATAGATGGGAGAGCCCACAGACCGGGCAAGTCCTCAGTGTCATGTCTAACTTGGAGACCAGAGACTCAGGAACGCACGACTCACGTAGCACACAGCTGCCAACTCCTGACGCAAGGCTCCACTTTCCAAAGTAGAGGATGATGCCTTCTGAGGGTTGACTCCATTGTCATAAACGGTGAACTTAGTGCCCATGAGGTTGGACCTGAAGGACAGGCAATCAATAGAGGATCATGCACCCTCTGCCTTAGGGCAGGAAGCAGCTCAGTCTGTCCCATGAGGAGCCTGCAGAGCATTCTGGGTTGGGCCAGGAGCAGACCGGGGAGCACACTGCACCCCGAATCCCCATCTCTGAAGGTCCTTCATGGGGAGAAGGCCTGGACTCGCTCTGAATAGAATCAAAGGGCATCTTAGTTGAGTGAGGGAGATTCCAGGAGGTAAGTCTCGGTTCCACAGGTTTCCCTGGAGGAGCAGGAGTGCTCCCCTCACGGGAGGCGAGCAAGCAGATGGCATCCGGCAAGACTGCAAAAGGCACTCAACATCCCATGGAGTGGATGACACGACCTCCTCTCCTGTCCAGCCTGTTGAGTGTTGGTCTAGCCCCATCTCCAGCATTAGTTCCTCGCCTCTAAGCTTGATTCATGCTCCCCGAATCTGGCACTCTGTTCCTTGGCAAACACTCCCCTAGCTCTGAGGCCTAGCTCAGAGCCTTCCTGCCACCCCAAGGTCGTGCTCTCTTCCCTCAAGGGCGCACTCACAGCCTTGCCCTCTGGCACTGACCATGGGGCCAAGGCAATTCTTCCAGGGTGGCCCACATCTTCAGTGACTTCCTGAGGTTTGACCTGTCCCTCCTGATGGGCCTATGCCCCACCGACCTGGGAGCAGCTTAGGGTAGGGTATGTGAGCTCCATCTCCAAGTCCGGCCCTAGGCTGGCACGGACCCGGGCCTACGGTTGGAGCTGACAGACAAAGAAGATTCTATGAGAGGATCTGACCCCTGACCTAGATCTCCCTCAGGGACAAGACATGCCCACTCCGGAGTCTGGCCCTGCCCCTCCCTCCCACCCCCCCACCCCCCCGCTCCCTAGCGCAGTGCTAGTACCGCAGTTTCCCGATGTAGCTGTCCCCTCCTCGAGACAAGTCTGTTGGGTCCACAGAGATGAGGTAATTGGAAGTTTTACTCTTCTTTCTCTTCCTTCCCGCCAAGAGGAACACCTTGGGGAATGGAGCAAGGTCACATTCCAGGCCCAGCCTCTGGTCATAATCATGGGTGTGACTCCCACACACACACACACGGCTCTCTCTGGCTCCAGCTCCTGAACATACGGACACGTACACACACACGTACTTACGTACACACACGTACACACGTACGTACACACACGTACACACATACACGTACTTACGTACACACACGTACGTACACACACGTACTTACGTACACACACGTACACACATACACGTACTTATGTACACACACATACACATACTTACGTACACACACGTACGTACACACACGTACTTATGTACACCCACGTACTTACATACACACACGTACACACACACGTACGTACACGCACACACCAGCAAACACAAAGGTATGCACAGACCGGGCACGGAGGCTTCTATCCCTTGGGAGAACTGAAAGCTCTGTTGGACCTGAGGCTTCCGGTCACATTCCAGCCCACAGGACCTCAAGCCTGCCTCAGGGAAACTGCAAGTTCGGGCCAACCTCACCTTCTTCCCATCCTCGCGGTCCAGGTGCAAGAAGTAGGTGGGGTACATGCCCCGGTCCATCCCCTTCTTGTCCCGCGTGATGCGGCACTTGATGGTGATACCTTGGGGGGCTGGCCTCAGTGCAAACTCCTCAAGATCCTGGACGTCCACATCCGCCGAGGGTTCTGGGGCTGTCGGGCTGGGGGCTGAGGCTGCCTCCTACAGGGGACAGAGAAGGAGCCCGAGCCCCAGAGACCCTGAGCAGCTGCAACTGGTGGTCCGGGACCCAAAGCTGCCCCCTGATGTGGTGGTGGTGGTGGTGGGAACTGGGGCAGGGTCCCTGGGCCCGGCCATCCCGGCCCTGGGGTCAGCAGCTGGCTCCTCAGCTGTCCCCGGGGAGGGGGCGGGGGGAGATGGAGGATGTGGGCAGGTTCTCAGGGCCATCCCATCCAACTCGAGCGCCCCGCCCCCCAACTCCTGGCCTGGCTGAAGAGGAGGCAGGAGAGGACAGAAGAGCCCTGGCGAGAAAAGCTCCTGCTCGGTTTCCAGGCCCAGTCCCAAGAGAGCCATTTCTTCACACCCATTCGCCCTCCAACCTGGACGAGCAGAGCTCTGAGCACCGCCGTCCACCCTCCCGCCGGGCAGGAGAAGCGCCTCACCCTGACGGACTTCCCGCTAGTAGCGGAGCTGGGGCGGGTGGTGCTGTTCAGCTGGGAGGAGCTTGAGCTGTTTTCATCCTCCTCTTCCTCTTCCTCTTCCAAGCTCATGCTGCTGGGGACACCTGGGCAGGGCAGGGACCGGGAAGGGACGAGCGGTCACAGACGCGGCCGATACCCACTCCGACGCACCGAGTCACCCGTACGCACACACGGCCGTACGTCCACACACGCGTCCACACACACACACATCCAAACACACGGAAGGACACGTTCTCTCGAGTGCATGCACGAGCTGGGGCTGGCCACCATCCTTAGGGTGTAACCACCCCCCCAGCTTTCCGCTCAGTCCTCCCATGAGATCCCCCTCTCCAGCAGTCAGTGCCTATCTCCTGGGCAGCGAGGACTGAATGGAGCTGACCCTGTGCTGGGAGCCTTCGTGTCTACTGGCGGCCTCGGCTGGCACAGGCCATGAGATCTGCTTGGGAGAGGCCCCGCTCCTTCCTCCTCCGGCCTGATGCACGTGGCCCACTGATTCCTCTCCCAGCCTGCCTGTGGCCTTCTGTCTACACATTTCTCCCCACCTAGAATGCTGTCGTCCCCAGCCTCCTGCTGCCTCAATGGCCCTTCCTCCAGGAAGCCAGCCCTGATCTCATTTCTTGGAACGTGTGGCCTTGCCGGGCTTCCTTCTGCCACCCTGTGCCAGGGACTCCCTGGGGCAGGGCTCCTGGTGGGGAAACTGGGCAGCAGGTTTCCTGGGAGGATCTGCCCTGCCTCTGGGCATTCTGGCCCTGCTCCCCGAGCTCAGCAGATAAAGGGGAAACATTTTCAAAAGGACCTTTCTCAAAGGAGGCAAAGGGAAAGGAAACCTGTCTCCAAACCTGGGTCTCCCTGGGGACAGGAGATGGAGGTGGGGAGAGAAGGCAGGGCTGTGGACTGGTTGCTTTCCCTAGTTGATTTCCCTGAACTTGACCTTATCAGGGGCCCCTACACCCAAGTTTCTCATTGGTCTCACACTGTGCCCCCTACCAGGGCCATGCTCCTTAAGAAGGGTGCATCTAAGAACCTGGGACTGAGCTTTGGGGGTGTCACTGAACCCCCACAGGGCTCACCCTTCCTCTGCATCGTGGCACGGAGGTCCTGCCCGCTGGGCTGTGTGCCCCCGCCGGCTGCCGTCTCCCCCGCGTCCTGAGCGTGGTCTGACTGGCCCACAGTCAGGATCCGCACCGGGTCTTGGGCCTCAGACTTGTCTTCGGCCAGTGCAGCTGGCCCGCTGGTGCCTGCAGGCCACGGATACTCCTGAGTCCCGTGGAGGGATGGGGGGGGGGGAGCCTGGATTCTCAGACGTCCTTGAAGTGAGTGAGGGATGAGTGGGGGGAACCCTCTGCAAAACTGATTTTTAAAAACACTAATGACTGCTGCCAGCCTCTTAGCGATCAACAAGCTACAAAGGGACATGGGCTTCATTTCTTCTGCTGTTCCCCCAAATTAGTTGCCGAGGGTTGGTTTGAAATGCCTCACATCCCTAGGCAGAAGACAGCCATTTACAGAACCAACTGCACAGTGAAAAAGCAAGATGGAGAACAAGGATCGATCGTGACCATGGCCAAGGCCACCACTCGTTCACAGACATGGCTGACTCCCAGTGATCAGTGATCTCTCTCGCGCGCGCGAGTGCGCGCACACACACTCACCCCATAACTCACACACATCATTCAAAACACATGGGGCCCCTTGAAAAAGACAGAGGTCGGCTTGCACTCCCCTTCCCAAATGGAAGATCTCCCATCCCACGTCACCCCGCCCAAGGTGCCCAAGTAACAGAAGGCCTGGCCCACACAGGTGGTAGTGCCCTGCCTGGCTGAGCTATGCCCCTCAACGCTGCAGTCAGCTCCAAAAGCCTATGAGCCCTGACACACCACTGTCCAACCATGTCTCAGACACCTGGGAATCACTGCCCATGCACACGGCTTGCGGACACGGGGCATCTAGCCAGTGGAGACAGGACTCATGGCAGGAGCCACCATAACGGTCCTTGATCTCTGGGGATCTTTTCTGGAGAGAGAGAAACCGAGAAAACAGATTGGTCTGTGGGCCCAGAGGGTGGAGTTAGGGCTAGACAGAGGGTCGAGAAAGCCTACGTGACAACCCCGAGTACTGCACAAGGATGGGGCAGGCTGCTTAGGACAGGACAGAGATGGAGGGGGCTCAGGCCAGGTGGGGGCGGGGCTGCCTGGGCTGGACCCAGGTGAGCTGCACTTCACTTCCTGGCAGTGTGGGGAGCCTGCCCGCGCCCACAGGCAGCCCAGGAACCCCCGTGAGCTAGAGGAAGCCTGAGTGCCAGTTGGGTGGGGGCCCGAGTGCCCTTCTGTGCCTTCATGGAGGCCTCCCACCCTGTCCCTTACCTCCAAGGCTGAAGGAGAAGCCTCCCCCCAACCCTCCAGTGGGAGCCAGGCCTCCTGAGGAGGGGCTGTCGTGGAGGCAAGCCAACCTTTGTGCTTCCCCTGCTTCTCCTTCCTAGAGGCCCCGCCCTGGCCCCCCGCTGCAGCTGCTGCCTTGGTTCTCTTGGCTGAGGCTGGTGCTGTTGGGCGGGCGGCTCCCAGCTGCGCACTGGTAAGTGAGTCGGCCTCCTGAACTGCTCAGGTGAGAGCCCGAGAGAGAGAGAGAGAGAGAGAGAGAGAGAGAGAGAAACATGGGCCCTAGGTGAGACCAGAGCTCCAAGTGGAACTCACTTCTCAGCACATCTGCCAGGGCCCCACCACCACCCAAGCCCTGCCAGGGCCTCTACAAGACAAAGGGGCCGGGGCAGGCCGAGCTGGAAGGAGGTGGTTCCTGAAGCCCCGTGTGATAGTCAACAGGCTGGCCCACAGCATGATCAACCAAGAAGCATGCAGTCAGAGCTCTGGGCCAGCAAACTGTGTGAGCCTGGGCAGGGGAAGGGAGAGCATCTGGGAGAAAGTGGGTCACTCAAGGTGCTGAAGACGGAAAAGGCTGCATTCCCTAGAAGAGCCCAGAACTCGTAGGGCAAGCACTCCAGGGAGCCTGCACCGGCCCGCGTGGGACGAGCCCATGGGAGCCCGGCACCCAGAGTACCCCAAGCAGGAGGGTGGCTCTGGGTACAAGGAGCTGCACACACCAACACGGTCACAGCTGGGTGGCCTCCACAGTCTCCACACATCAGAACCCCAACCTGCTCTAAGTCTTTGAATGATTTCTCATTGCTTGTAAGATGAAGACCACCATTCTCCCCCAAGTCTGGCCCCTCCAGCTCCCTTCCACTTGGCCTTGGCCTTCCCGGCACACCCCTCATCTCCCGGACACCCCAAGTCCCAGCTCCACCAGACGCTTTCAGTGCCTTCCCTCTTGCCACAGGGGCTTTGCTCTATTGTCCCACCATCTGCACAGTCCTCACTCTGGACATTGGCCCCCTTGACCCCAACTAAACTCCCACTCAACCTGTGGATTCCAGCTCAGGTGTCACCTCCTCGGGGAGGCCTTCCCTGGCCCTCATCTGGGAGCAGTCTCTCTGCCGTTCACTCACAGAGCCTGTTTCTCTCCGCCAGGCACACCTTTGACCACCTGTTTAACTCTCTCCCTTCCTAGACCTCCAGGTCCATGAACAGAGAACACACCTGTTTTGTGCTTCCCCAGGACCCCCAGCCTCTAATTCAGAACCTGACACAAAGTAAGCCCGCAATAAATAGTTAAAAAATGAATATACAACATGGATGAGCATGGTCAGTGAAGAACTGTTCGCTGGGAGAAGCAGTTCTCACTGATGCCAAATGCCCCCTCAGCCTCTGGAACCAACCCCCTTGTATTTAACACCAAGAGCCAGCAGAGGGCAGAGCAGGCGGGGCTGGAGGGGCCCTCGGAACCAGGGACCCCAGGTCAGCCAGCCTCGCCTCCTCAGGGTTTGGCACTGGGGAAAGGCACCACCTCCCCCCCCCCCCCCCCCCCAGAGCCTGGGCAGCAGTGTCCGCAGGGAACAGCATTCATGACTGGACCACAGGACATACCATGGCCGCTTCGATTTTCAAAGCCCCAAGACACAGGATGTTCCTCAACTTTACGAGGGGAGAAAATAGGCCCAGAGAGAGTAAGTGACTTGCTCACAGTCACAGGTGAGCAGAAACTATCTTCTGACGGGGGTGGGACCCACTCTCTCCACAGGGGCTGCAGCCTTTCTGCAGGCCCGGCCCTGCCCCGGGCACACAGTCGGTGCTCCAGAAACACCTGCCAAGGTGACCAAAGCCTCAGGATGCCTGAGCACATGCAGGGGCCCCGGGGTCCAGGTCCTGGCCTCCCTCCACCTGGGCTGGGCATCGTCCGGCCTGAGCAGCCCCTGATGGGAGGAGCCCTTCGCCTGCCCCGGCTGGCCAAAGTCCATGAGGGGCTCCCCGAAGCAGTGCCGGCGGGAGGGGCGCGCGAGGCCACAGCACGGGGACCTCCCCAGGCTCGCCCCAGGGCAGGCTCTACCTTGGTAGCTGGTGCTGCCGCTGCTGCTGAGGTAGGACTCCACCAGGGGTGCCTGCTCCTCTGACTGCCGGGCCCGCCGGCTCCGGGGCCGCCCGTCCGTGTTGGCCTGCACCATCAGGGGCTCCTGGCGCTTCTTCTTCTGCTTCTGCTCCAGCAGGGCCCGCTGCAGGCACGGGACAGACACAGAAGTTGGCGGGCCCTGAGAGCGCAGCCCGTCACTTCCACCCGGACAGCAGGCTCCCAACTGGGACCAGAGAGAAGGCCCCGATTGCTCAGCTCGGTTCTGGGGGTTGCCAGGGGGTCCACAGCCCACTTTGGGCCGAGGCTTCGTGCCCTTGGCACCTGGAGACTCAGGGTCCAGGAAAAGGAGACACAAGTCAACCCAGGTAGCCGCCCCGGCAGGACCACGGCACGGATGTCCAATGGTCCGACTGCAGCCACCAGCTGCCTGCCTGGCAAAAGCTCAGTGCCGATACTGAGCCGGTCAAGACAGGGCTCGCCTCTCTTCTGTGAGAGCCTCCTCCCCGCCAGCCAGGGTCACCCCAGGAAGGGAGACAATCCTCACTCTCCACCCAGGATGGTAAGTGCTGACTGCCCGTCCTCCCGGCCCCGGCCCCACTCACCTGCCGGTCCAGCTTCTGCTGCCTCAGGTTGCTGCCCTCATCATCTAAGACACTGCAGAGGGAGACAGGGGCACTCAGGGCCTGCCGGCCGGCTGCCACAAACCCAGAACCCGCCCCCCGCACATCTGGGTTCTTTAAACCCCTCCCGTCATGACTCCTGGGTACAGAGGAGAGGGGGGAAGGGTGGAGCTACTATCTGGAAACTGGTTCCAGACGGAAAGATGGGAGCCATATTTTGGCCACTTTAGGAGCTTTCTCCTGCTGGGGTCACTGCTGACCCAAGGAATTCCTAATCAGCCCGGCTCTGGTAAGTACAGGAGGAGACACGCCTGAGATCCAGGGGAACCTGTCCAGAGGCATCAGATGCAAGCCAGGCCCAAGGCTGGGCTTCAGACCCAGGCGCCTGTCGGCTCCAGGTCCCTCTCGGATCTCACCAGCTCTTCCCGTCTTTCCGTCCTTCCTAGAGGAGGCTGGATCCTTTGAGGCAGACTCCTTCCTCTTCTATTCAAACTCCTGGCTCTCCAGGTGGCAGAATGGAGGTGCTGCCCACCCCCCTCCCCCTCTTAAAGAAGGTTGAGGGTCCCCTCATTTGGGAGAGCAAAGCTAAAAGACCAACCAGCCCCTGAGGGCAGGGCTAGGGCTGGATGGGGTATCTGCAGGCAGACACAGCACAGCAGGGAACAGCCCAGCAACCAGCCAACATGGCGCAGGGGGCACCAGGGCATCAAATCCTTGAGTCCCTAAGGTCTTGGAACGGACAGTGTCAACTCACATAGACTGGACCTGCCTCCCAGGAAGACAAGCATAATTAGGGAGCTCCGACCACTTAGCATTCCTTCTAGTCCAAGATACATCCATGAGCCGTAGCCCCAAATTCTATAAAAGCCAAGGTTAGGGGGTAGTAGGGCTGGCGTCTGACATGAGCCCTGGGAACCCCCTGACTACCCTGGCCCAGTGATGCTGGGGCCTGCCCCTGAACCAGACCCTGAGTGGGTACCTGCATAGGCATGCCTGAGTGCATCAGGTTTGTATGCGAAGCTCTAAGTATACGTCGTGCCGTGCCCACACTGGGAGGCGTCCAGATACATAAGGACACCTACATGTGTGAGCACTCCGTGCAGCTAGGCAGGTGAGCGCCTGCGTGAGAAGCGGGTGCCCCTGTGTGCGGGTGAGCACAGCACGCGCCTAAGGAGGGAAGGTGAGGGCGGGTCACCCCGAAAACAAGCTGCAGCCAGTGCCACCTCCTCCTGACGACAGGAGCTCTTCTACCTGCAACGATCATCAACCTGCAGTGTCCCTTCGGCTCATCCAAACTACCTGTGTGTCCATGTGCCAGGGGAGCCGGCCAAGGGTGTGGCAGGAAGTCCATGGGGTCCACAGCCCACCGCCCACCTCTGGCTCTACCCACCCACCTCCCCAGCCACAACCTAAGACAACTGCCCGTTTTTAACTGGTAGCTGTCCTCCTTACTTGAAGGCCTTTCCTGACACCCAGGGGCTGCCCTGCACTCAAGAGGAGCCCCGACTGTGCTCTGAGTCTGTTCACAGCCTGATTCTCCAAAAGCCTTGGCTGCCAGAACACAAGAGAAGACACTACTAAACAGACGTGCTTCTCAGTCAAGGCCTCAGTCCACCTAGAGCTGCCCACAGCTGCACGTGGGACTCCCTGAGGGCAATGCCAGGAGCAGGCGACAGGGACCTGGCTCCTAACACTTCAAGCTGGCCAGGACAGGGAGTGCCATCTGAGGAAGCGGGCGCCCCAGGCCGGAGGGCGGCAGAGAGAGTTCTGAAGGGAGGATGAGTTTATTAGGGTGAGAGCAAGATGCCTGGGGGCCCTGCCAGGTCTGAGAGGCTGCACCTCTGCCACTCGCCTCTCCACCTTAAGTCAGCGGCCTGACTGAAAAATGCCGAGGCCAAGCATCCGCTCCCACAGACTTCAAGGGCTCAGTCCACAAACGCCACGGTCCACTGGGGTCTGCGGCATGAGCGACGCGGATTCCTGAAAGACGAGCGGGAGATGGATAGAAACGGCACTCTGGGCTCCACGTGGCACTGGCTGACAGCACCAACGGGGCCTGAGATCCAGCCGTGCTCTGCCTGCCAAGCTCTGTGCCTGGGTCCACGCGGGGCAGCCCGCCATCTCGGTCACATGCTCGCGGCCTGGCCACAGGGGCCCACGTTGCCTCCAAGAGACCGCCGGCTCCGTGTCCTGCTGGCAGGAGGCAGCTTCATGGCTCCCTGACATGGCGCAAGTCCCTTGCACTTTCGTAGGGCAGGGCCAGGGACAGCCAGGTCATCCGGGGACTGAGCTTGGGGAGCAGGGCAAAGCCCCCGCCCTCTGTGGTGCTGATGCAAACATCTAGAGTCATTCAGAAAAGGGGACATCCGCCTGTGAGTTAAGCTGACACGAGCAAAGCCACCTCCAGAAGCGCCGGGTCACAGCGGCAGCTCGATGGACAAAGGTGGCTCTGGTGTCCCTATCCGTCCGGGGAGGGGGGTGCGGCGGCGCACATTACTAGCCCAGGCTACCATCCCACTGCCCGGCCTCTCCACAGGTCACCAGCGGGCAAGGAGGCTGCTTTCCTCCTCCTCTGGTCCCATCTCCATTCCCTGATCGGGCAGAAAGAGCCAGAGCCGCAGGCCTTAGTAACGCCGGTCACCTGGCAGGATTACAGGTGGAATGGACTTCACCACCGGCCCTCACAGAAAGATGGATGAAAAGGGGTAAGCTTCTGAAGAGATTCCAGAAACTCGGATAGCCTGGAAGTGCCTGGAGAGCCACGCCCCACCTCCTCCGCCACTCCGCTGGGCACACTGGAGCGGCGGGGGGCCGGCATGTGCAGGGGCGCGGCTGGGAGAAGCCACGTGCCTCCGGCCAGGGGTGAGGAAGAACGTGCCTGGCTGCGCAGGACGCCCCAGGAGGGCCCGCAATCCACGCAGCTCTGAGTGGTGGCTCCAAGTGTGGACGACGGCACGTCCAGGAAAGCAGGTTCCTGCCAGGGCCCTGTTTCTAGGAAAGCAGGTTCCTGCCAGGGCCCTGTTTCTAGGAAAGCAGACCACGGGCCCCCGGCAGGGACGAGCCCGGACCGCCTGACAGCACTGTGTCTGAGGCGCACATCGGCCCCAGACCGAGAACAAATCCCCGCAAGCCCCGGCGGCTGCTGAGAACCACGGCAACAAGGCGGGGCTGTGTCCAGGGAGTGGAAGGAAACCCCTCTCCCCTCCCCGGCAGGCCCCGCCCCCAGCCCCTCCCCTCCAGGCAGCCCTGCCCCTCAGCTCCCACCAGGGCTCCTTCCTTCCTGTCCCGCCGCCACTGCCCGGCCTGCCTCTACCCGATGGGCACTGTTCTGGGCAACACTAAATGATAACCACAGAGGAGAAAGTAATGGCTTTTTAACAACTCGGGCTCCAATTACGGAATCGCTGCCAAGCCCGGTCTGGCAGCTGCGGCCCCGCCAGGAGCCTCGGGCAGGAGACAGGGCACTGATGGATGGGTCCTCCAGCTGACCCTGGCGGCTCCTTCATTGCGGTCGCCTCCTGCTGGGGACCGGACCAGGGAGATCCAGGAACGCACCGGCCACTGGCTCCTGAGGGTCGGAGAAACCCAGTCGGCCGTGTCCACCAATCCACCCATTCTGCCCAGGGCCAACGAGGTGGCCCTTCGCCTCCCAGGGAGACGGCCCCTCCATATCCCCTTGCCTCCCCCGAGCTGCCCAATAGGTATCTGGAGAGAAAACCATGCTTGATAACGAATGAGAGCAGGGGCACTGCTCCCAGGGGATGGAAAAGCCAGCCGTGGACAACACATTTAGGAAGCCGGGACCCTGCCTCTCTTTAGACTCCACCCCCTGCATGCTCAGCTAACCCACCAGAGCTGACCAGAGCCCTGGGCGCCAGGCTACCTAGGGACAGCCCCGTACTCCACGCCCAATTCACTCTCCCCTTTTATGCCCTCATTCCTTCCACTCAGTCACAGCAGAAGCTGACCCCGCTGGACCCAGGGAGTCAGAGGAGGAAGGACCACCCAGGGGGCCAGGCTGCAAGCCCTGTACCTATGCCAGAATTCCCCACCCCCACCCGAGCACGCCCAGATCTGCCCCTAGTGGCTGCCTGGAACACCAGGGAAACACAGTACGGGTGGGAACAGGGGGAGCCCCAAAAGGGAGAAGCCCACAGGGCTCACAGGAGTCCCAGCCTCCCAGGATGGGCCCTCTCCATTCCTGCCATGGGCTCCCAAACTTAGCACGTCATTAAAACTGCTATGCACATTCGGCCCTGACTTGGTGATTCAGAACTGCTGGAGAAGTTAGCCCAGAATCAATCCCTCACCTCATTTTCTCTTTTGAAGCAAGAAACATAGGTGATTTTAATGTTGTCATGCAAATGAGGACCATGAGCCACAGCTGGTGATCTCTAAAGAACAAAAAAGAAATCTAAGAGTTGCTCAAAGTATGCAAATACAGCCTTCTGTTCAGATGGGGGAAGAAATCATAGTCTGTAGATCAATCTTACACAGGCCCCAGGTAAGATCATGGGACAGATTCACTGAAGAGCTAGAAGACCTAGTGATCAGCAGGACTGAGCCCAGTCCACCAGCAAGTCAGGGCACATGCCCCCAGACCTACCAAACAGCCAGGCTGCCACATGGAATCGCAAGCACCAGTGACAGTCACTAGTGGGCAAGATAAAGCAACGTGAGTGGCGTGCTCCTCCAAAGAGACAGGTTTTTGCAACCATAAGGCATGCCATAATCAGGTTTCCAGCACCCTGCTTCCCTTGCTTAGCGTGTTTACTGATGACCTAAAGACAAGGCAGGCCTCACAGAAGACTTATAGGTGACACAAAGTCGAAGTGATACTAAACTGTTCACTAAGACAGTAGGACTTGAGAAGACACTGGAGAGCTTGCAGAGTCTAACCAATGGAAACCTAACAGGAGAAGGTCATGTCTTACATGTGGGTCCCCAAACCCAGGTCCGCCCCACACAGGCAGAATGGGGGACACAGGGCTTGACATCAGCCTGATGAGACTTTGGAGTTCTGTTTACAGAGGCCTCAAGGTGATGAGTCAGTGAGCCAAAGCTGTCCCCCATGACAGGGAGGGCCCAAGGTCAACAACGGGAGCAGGGTCCCCAGCGAGGAAGTAACAGCCTCTCTCTGCTCGGGGTGGGACAGCACCCAGGAAGCTGGAGGTGGCTCCAGATGCCTGCTGGAGGAGGGCAGAGACCAACCTGAGGGGAGCCGCACAGTCCCTGCTCACCGAGTCCTCTCTCTCACCCCTGTGTGCCTGCTCCTTCCACCCAAAGCAGCATCGGGACAACTTCCCCCGGGCGCTGGGGCTGGGAGTAGCCAGAGATTCTGCTCCTCCTCCCTGCTGCTGGAGGTGAAGCGGCCAACATAGCATCCACGGCACCCTGAGGCTTCCCACACAGGCAGAGCTGGAAGAGCCAGGTCTTGCTTGGTCAGCAGTCCTTCCACTCCCCAGAAAGCGTCGTCCGGAAGTGGTGGGAGGACCCTTTCACAAGAGCCAAGAGGAGGGAAAACCCAGAGGCACGCTGAGGCTCACCCCAAGGAAGAGCTTTCTAACGGTCAGCCCCACGTGATGGAAGGGTGCATTCACACAGAGGACCCGACAGCCTGTAAGCTGTAAGGGCCCTTCCAGCTGCAATGCTCATTCTCTGACCCAGGGCCATGCTTGTCCAGCACTATTCCTTTCCCTGAGGGGAGACTACATCCCTTGGGTGTGCTGAGAACCCGGGTGTGCAGCCAGGAAAGCCAGAAAGTCTGAAAAGCCATCTGGGGATGCCTCTGACTCAAAGTAGTGCGCATCTTGTCTGTGCTGGGCCACGCCAGGCACACAGCCCAGAACCAAGTGGGGTCCCTGCTCTCCAGGAGTTCGGAGTCGGGTTGGGGGGAGACAGTGCAGAGAGAGCACTGAGGACCGGGCCCGCCATCGCTCCTGCGCTCTTAATGCTCCACCTGCAACTCACAAAAGGTTGTGAAGCCAGGGAGAAGGGGCATTTAATACTCAAGAAGAACACAGACGAAGAGAAAATGGCAGAAGTGAAAATTATTAGTACTACTAATAGAAAAAAATCAAAAGGCAAAACATTATTCCAATCGTTCAACTTTATAAACTAAATGGCTCCCTTCTGAGTCAGAATGTGAGATTAATCCATGATCATTATAAACTGAGCCACAATTACTCTTAAGAAGATTATCGCCAATTGGCAGTTGCTTCAAAGAAAATGAGCCAGGCCTAGGGAACGCAGGTGCAGCCATCACAGAGGGAGTAAAACCCCCACCGGGAAAGCTAACAAGAAATCGACCGACCTCTCTCCCCCAAACCAAACAACGCATTCCAGTTCTGACATACTGTGACACTGGGGAAACCTCATACCGAAACACGTGCCCACGTGCCCATCCCCCTCATCTGCAAGTAAACGGCCTTGCCTGTCTTCTGCCCCAGTTTTCTGCGATCACACAGGCATGTGGCTTTAACTGCAATCAGCAGCCCAGTTAATGCGAGAGGCAATTTGCATCTCCTCTTCTCAGCTCAGGTCTCCCCGTTCTGGAAGCCTACACCCAAAGTCCAGTGCTTTCCCAGGCTCAGGGCATGCTCAGAAAGACCCCAGCAAGGCAGGAGAGATTCTGGCAACTTCTGACTATAGCCTGCCCCCAGCTCGAGACCCACCCTCCCTGCCACAGAGCAAGAAGGCAGGGGTGACAGAGCAATGGGACCTCCAGCAGGTAGAGCCACAAGGGTGCCAAGCTGCTCCTCAGGGACAGGCTTCCAGTGTGATAGGATTCTGTGCTCCAGGCGGCGTGTTCGGGCCCAAGAAAGGAATGGTGGGATAGGGTGGTTGGGCCTAGGCTGGGGCAAGTGCCAAATCAGCCCTTGAAGGATGCAAGTGCCCTGGGCGCTGTTGGAGGACAAGGCCATTTCCCAGAGACAAGCCCACCTCCCGAGGGGCCTCTTTCCTAGAGGCAGGCTTTCTCTAAGACTTGTGCACTTACTCTACACATTGTTCTGGTCTTTGGCTTCTGGAAGAGGCTTCCTTGACCCATGATCTGGCCTGGACCCCCATTCTGCCAGATCCTAAACACACCATCGTATCCACAGCCACAAGTGCTGTCTCTTCCTGCCCTCCTAAGTCAGTCTGTGGCCACCACTCTGCCACGTACCCCCCCCATACTCGTACTTCCACAGCGTTAGAGGCCACTCAGCCTGCAGGTGCTCCCCAGGCACCTCTACTGGGCGGCTAGAAAAGGTTAATGGTACTCTGTGGGGCTGCACGGTCTTCTAGAAGGTCCTCGGCATAGACGTGTCAAGCCAGGATGCTCCACAAACTACCTGTGCCCCTAGCCTGGATGCCTGGTGCAGGGTAGCAGCTCCTGAGTCAGCAAAGCCCCAGTCTCCCGATGGGAGTATCTCCCTGATCTATGGGAGACTCTGAGGTGTAACTGCATTATGTCTGCAGGAAACCCTTTGGGTGACTCGTGTGTGTGCACGTGTGTATGTTGGTGGGAGGGGCACCCACAAATTCCAACTTGGGAAGCCCTAGAGCCCCCAAAGGAGCTTAGAGACAGCAGTTCTCAGGAGAAACCCTGAATCCCCAGGTCAGTGACAGGTGCTTGTTTGCAGAAGGATATGCTTTTAACAAGCCTCAGGCGCTTTCAGCTGGTTTTCCATTTTGGATGCTGTCTGGACAGACTCCTGGAAGAGCTCTGTCAGAAGTATTTTCTATCGGTGACTAGAATCAGGTCCCTTCCCAAGAGCTGGCTGTGTTACAAGGCAGGTCTTGAGGGTCTGCTCCTCCAACCCGCAGGCATGAGCACCTCAGCGGGCAATAGCATAGTGGCCCTCAGCGGTCCAGCACCCATCTTACACACATGCCTCTCTGGGAGGCCTGGAGACAGCCCCGTAGCCCATGGCAACCAGGAGCCAATAGGTGGCCAAGGATCTGGCGCTACCATGACGATGAGCTCTATTCCAGGGGTAATGGAGAGAATGAAGAGTGGATGGGGGAAAGGCCTGCACCTGTATGAGAAGCCTCCAACACCCCTCCCCCACCCCGACCACGAGGCAACCAGCAAAGCCCATCTATCCTTGGGACAGACCACAGAGTCTGGGGACACAGGGTACCCGTGCTTTCGTGAGTGCTCTTATGCATGTAAAGGCGGTCTATGTATTGTGAGTTGGTGGGTGTCCAGGTATAGACCTGTTCGCAAGTGGATTTCCGAGTCTCTGATATGAGTAGTACCTGTGAGTGGGTAACGGGTGTCAGGTATTGTCCAAATACAGGATGTGTTATGGGCACAGAGAGTAGGAGTACACCTGTGTGAGACCAAGAATCAGTGTAGGTGGAGACGTATGGGGTGCACGTGTGTATGAGCGGCCTGTGCTCTTGGTTCAGAATAACTGTCTCCAGGAATTCATGCTCTGCGTGTGTGAACAGACCAGCAGGAGTGTCTTTGGCCCGATGCACCCACGGGGGATGCATGCCTGCAGCTGTACGGGTGTCTGTCAACAGCTACACAGGCGTGTGACCCGGGGTGCTGGGCCTAGGAGGGGGGCTCAGAGCAGTGCGCTCCCTCCCCGTGCGGCCACATGGCGCTGCCCAACCCAACACGGCCCACACAGGCCCAGAGCACTGGCCCCTTCCAGCAGCCCCGGCGGACGAGAGACGGAGCACGGCAGGCCGGTTCAGTCCGCCCGGGGCCCAAAGTTGGGGTAGGAAGGCCCCGCGCCTCCAGCCCGCGCCCGCAGTGTGGGATGGGATGGGTACGGGGGTACGGGGGCCCGGCACCCCGGGTCGGGGTGGTGGGCGCCGCTCGCCCCGAGCGCTGGAGGGTAGTGGGCCGAGCCCGCGCCCCCAAGCTGAAGGGGGGAGGGTGGGCTGGGCGCCCGCGTACCTGTAAGGAATCCAGTCGGAATGCGGCTTGGAAGTCATGTCTCCCGGGGGCGGGGCGGCGGCTGCGGCTCTGGAAGCCGGGGCCCGCGGGGGACGGCGCGGGGGCCCTGCTCAGCTCCCGGGCCGCCCCGGGCCGCATCCTCCCGGGCCGGGGCGCTGAGCCCCGCCGAGGCCCGCGCTGCACGCCGGGGCCCCGGCCAGCGGCTGTCTGCGCGGCGCGATGGGCGAAGCGGCGGAGTGCGCGGGGCCGCGGCGGGCGTGCGCGCGCGTGGAGGCGGGAGAGGCCGGCCGGCACCGCCGGGCGCCACTGGAAGGGCTCGGTCCCGCGCCGAGGTGCCCGAGTGCTGCGTGGCGGCGGCCACGGCCCGCCCCCGCCCCCTCGCCCCGCCCCTGGCAGAGACCCCACCCCCGGCCGGCGCCGGCGTTCTGAACGCCCCCGCCCCCGCTCCTTCCCCGAAGGCCCGGGGGCTCCCGCGCCGCACACGTGACCGCGCCCGCGCCTGGGCTAAGGCCGCGGCCGCTGGGCGGGTCCCCAGACCTCCGAGCCTCAGTTTCTTTCTCTGTGAAGCGGGGATATTTCTAACTCCTACCTGCCTGGCTTACCTATCTCCACCAAGGGATGGGAACCGCTGCTTAGATGGGGAATGGGAGGAGCAGTGGGGGGTGGGATCCTTCGGTGCGGGGAAAGAGCTGAGGCCTGAAAAGAACCGAAGAGGTCTGGGGACACCTGCAGATCCGAAGCGTGGAGGCTGGCCTTCCCCTTTCTGCCCCTTCCACTCCCCCACCCCCCTTCCTCACAGGCCCCAGGGGAATCTGTTTTTTAGTAAGGAGCTGTTTTCTCAAAGCCGTGGGTCTTTCCCCTCAAAGCGGTAGCAGTCAAGAGAAGAGTAACATATGCTGTCTATTGCATTCCCAGCCCTTATAAATTTATATTATTTAAGCTCCACAACAGCCTTGAGAGGCAAGTATTTTATTCCTATTTCCAGAGAATAAAGCCTCAGTAATGCTAAGATGCCCAAGGACATAAAGCTACAAAGCGATAGAGCTGAAATGGAACCAGGGTCTCCGTCCTCCAAAGCTCTTTCTAGGGGCCACACTTAAAAGGAGGCAAAAACTTCTTTTTAAAGGTCATCTTAAAGTCTCTGGGTGCTGAGGAGGCCTTGGCTGTGACTCACACCAACTCTAAAGCCAGCCATGGCATGATGAGGTGAAGGATAGTGAATCGCCAGCTGGGGAGGAGAGAACAGGTGATTGGGCGGGGGTCTGCTGAGGGGCACAGTCTTCACACTCCATGTGGGTGTCCTCATGTGCACCCTGGATTCAGCAGCGCGCACACACTGCAACCATGCAGGTCCCTGTGGTGCAAAATAGGCCATCAGGACTGCATGACTGGGTGGGAGAGTGTGAGAAGAACCAGCTGGGCTGAGAGAGGGCCCCATCCTGCTGCCCTAGGTCCACAGCTAGGACGCCCCACCCCAGGACTCTCCCAGCCTTTCGGCCTGGCCTGGCCTTCCCCATTAACTATTAAAAACAATAACCAAAATGTTTGGAGCATTTGCTGAGCTCCAGGTGCTCTCTACACTGTAACTCATTTCATCCTCACAGCCACCCTAGGAGGTGGATGCTATTATCATACCCATTTCACAGCAGAAGAAACTGGGGCACAGAGAAGGCAAAGATCTTGCCCGACGTCATAGAGCTGTTCAGTGGTGAAGCTAAGATTCCCACACAGCAGTCTGGGCCCACAGCTCTTGTCCTTAGCCTCCTTCCTGCCTAGCACAGTTCATGCCACATGCCAGACACCCGGTCTCTTTCTTCAGGTTTCTGGAGTGCAGGACAGGATAGATCCATCTCTGTCTGGCACAGCATCAACAGTCTCTGAAGGCTGTGACCTCTGATTATCAACCGCTAAGAGCTATCACTGTCAGAGCGGACAGCGGGCAGACAAAAGAAATCACCCCAGAGTGAGGTGCAGGGGACAGAAAGCAGGGCTGTTTTCTCGCCTGCCAGGACACTTGGCATGGGCCTCGGTTCCAGCGTTGGGTTCCCAGGAAGGTCAGCAGAAAGGGACTGGCCCCTGCTTTGGAGGCCAAAGCACTACCCTGAGGGCCTCTCTGTCCTTTAGGACAGAGCCCTGCGTCCCTGCCTAGCAACAAGAGGCTGGTCCCACCCTCCAGACCACCCTTTCCCAAACTGCAATCTGCAGCTACCACTTCAGTGATGACTGAGTAGAGCCTGGAAGACTACCCCTTCAAGGATGTGAATGCTTTCCCCATTTATTCCCAAATTATCTGACACCTTAAAGCAATCAGAATCAAGTTGGAAGGTCTCAGGAGCCTAAAGTAATTGAATCTATTAAATAGATACTTTGGGTTCTGTCCTGAGAGAGCAAAATCTGGAGGCAGAGTGAGGTGCAGAAATAAGACAGCTCCCCATGTCTCTTCCTGCAGAGGCTGTGCACGTGCCCATGGCATGTGTGGGAGCCAGTGGGACTGTGTGCCATGTATCCACGAGCGTGCACGAGCGTGTGTGTATAAGGTGTCCTTGCAGCTGGATGGATCTGCACAAGAACATTCATTGGATGGCATGGGGAGGATCTCAGTATGTGCTTCTGTGAGTTCTAAGGGATGTGTAAATGTTCACACTCAACTCAGAACTGGCAATGAGTTTTTCTGCTCAAATAGTTTCCCTGGGGGCGCCTGGGTGGCTCAGTCGTTAAGCATCTGCCTTCGGCTCCGGGCATGATCCCAGGATCCTGGGATCGAGCCCCGCATCGGGCTCCCAGCTCTGCGGGAAGCCTGCTTCTCCCTTTCCCACTCCCCCTACTTGTGTTCCCTCTCTCGCTGTCTCTCTCTGTCAAATATATAAATCTTAAAAAAAAAAAAAAAAAAAAATAGCTTCCCTAGTTGACATTTTAAGTGTATGCCCTTGGCTTCCATTGAAAGGCCACTCCAGAAAGCCACATGAGGTAGATTGTACTAGGCCATGGTTAGAATACAGCTGTGCTATAGGGTGACCCTTGAGAAAGGGCCTAAGCTTTTCAAATTTAGCCTGCAGAACCAGGTGATTGCTACCAACATGCCGCCACATAGCAAACCCAACGCCTGCCTCACCACCTGCCCAAATCCTGCAAGGGTGGATTTAAATTCTCCTTGTTGCCTTGTAGACATTTTCAAGATTTTTATTTATTTATTTATTTGACAGAGAGACAGAGCACGTGTGGCAGGCAGAGGGAAAGTGAGAAGCAGACTCCCCGCTGAGCAGGGAGCCCGATGCAGGACTCGATCCCAGGACCCTGGTATCATGACCTGAGCTGAAGGCAGACGCTTAACGACTGAGCCACCCAGGTGCTTGTAGGCATTTTCAAACATGGCCATGGTTTGTGAGGGGAGTGCAAGAGTTTAGGCCGAAGGAGACCCTCCCATCTGCCACCCCAGCTGGAAGACCCCAGTGCAAGCTCCTCTCAGCAAGACTAGTTCACCCAAGGAAGAAGGTTCGCACTTCTTTCGGCACCTTGCCACTTCATGTGGAATTTTAAATTTTCAGTTTCTAATTTAACAGTCGTATTGAGTGTGGCCCACCTCTAATCAATTTTGGAAGCAACAGGATATGAATAATAAGTGAATATCTATCCAGATCTGGCACCCAGTCCCAAGGTGCCCCACCTCAGAGCTTGGTGTTGCCTCCCTTGGGGCTGAGGAAGGCAATGGACTCGACCCGCCCGGGCCCGCAGGTCCGTACAGGGCTCTGGCAGGCGTCAGGCCCGGTTCTGCCCCCAGGGAGCTTTCAGTCTGGCGAGAGAGATGCAGAGAAGCCAGGTGCTAGGGTTACAACACAGGTGTGCCAAGTGCTCAGGGCCCAGAGGAGGGGTGGCTAGGGGTAGTGGGGGGCGGGAAGTCGGGGCAGGACAAATCTGCCCTGAGAGTGAAGAAGATGACATTTGAATTGGTCCTTGAAGGATGAGTAGGATTTTGACAGACTGATAAGAAAGGAAGCGGGGAGCTTTCCAGTTCCTGAGATTCTACAACCGGCCCGGTGCTGAGCTGGGGTCTTCTACCAAAGGGCATTCTAGACACAGAAGATGACGTGAGCAAAGCCACGGGGAGATGAGAACATGTGACCAATGCAGTTGATAACCAAAATGCAAACCCATGTGGTAGCACGGGGGTGAGTGGTTCCATGTGGCAGGAGAAGGGCCTAGAAAGTTAAGGTAGAGCTAGATCACATGGCACCCTGAACACCAGGCTGAGGAGCTTGAATTTTATCCTATAACCAACAGGGAACCACTAAAGGGTTTTAAGCCAAGAGTAACCTGCCCAGGTGTACTTTTAGAAAGGTATAATTGGGAGCAAAATGGAGGACAGAAGGAGACAAGGCCAGACGTATCGACAACTGCTAGCTGGGTCATGGGAAAGTCCAGGACAGGGATGAGCAGACCCTAAACCAGAGCTCAGTGCCTTTTCAAAGCTGTTGAGCAGACATGAAGGCAAAATGGCAGCATATGTATGGTGGCCAGATAGTGCCCTCCAAAATTTCCACTTAAATAACTGCAGAATATATGACGACCACTGCCCCGTTTCTACCTGACTCAAGGGAGATAAATAGGCTTACTGATGTATTTGAAAAAATGTAGGGTAAGCACTGGCAGAACTAAAAGCAATATGCCTATTTTCCAAATAACTGCAGGAGATAATAGCAAATTCAAATCTCCACCACTACCACCATCATCACCACCACAAGCATTGTCTAAAGAAAACATAAAATTGGGATAAAGCCAAATGAAATAGTGACGGACTGCGTGTAAGTGGGGGGCCTGTGGATGGGATCACACACGACCATCACTGGTTGAGTGCATGCTCTGGGCCAGGCACTCGTCCCCGCGTTTCATAGAAAGCAAATATGGGCAAGAGCGTGACGAAATGCAACTCTCCGGTCGAGGCGCCCAGTGAATAAATAACGTGTTGCCGAGTGTGGTGGGATAACCCCTGAACAAACAGGACCTGGAAGAGAGGGGGAGGAAACCCTGGTCTGTACCATTAGCCGTCGCCTACCTCTAAATTGTTAGAGGCTTTAGGGGAATTTGCAAGAGAGCCTCAGGGTCCAGTGGACCCTCCGTAGGAGCAGGGAAGGGTACATGGCCTTTGCCTCAAATCCAGAGAGGGAGGCTTGAAGGAGAACTCCCTAGGA